AAAGAGAGAAAATTTGTGTCTATCGTCATTGTGATGTGAGGTTTCGCTCCGTTCTTTTGTACATGATATTTCATCTGCAAGCTCCAGTTTATAGAGCAGACATACCATTATTTGATCTTGGCCGCAAATCATGCACCTCCTGATACAGAAAGGGCTTGGAGTAGAAGTGCTGACAAGCGTCATACAGCGGAAAGTCACAGTAGCCAAGTGCTTCCAGCGCATTTCGCACGGCCACAAAAGCGATCTTGGAGGGAGCCACAGTCATCAACCCTTGCTCACCAATTGCTCGTTCTGTCTGCGCCCTGGCCAGCATATAGGCAGTAGCTTTGATACCGTCGTCATGTGCCATGGAGGGAACAAGGTCCAACAAATGCCGGACAAAACTGAGGGCTGTCGGTGGGTTGACTCGCCACTGCAAGCCTTCCAGGATCTTGCTTTCCAGTGCTACTATTTGATCAGCTGAATAATGTCCTCGTCCAATCTCGACAAATGCGCCAGGTGTCAATGTCGGTGATTCGTGAACCTTGATTGCCAAGTAGAGGGAAGTGATACAAAGAAGTTGGTACTTGTCCGTGTCCTGCAGGTACTCTGGACCGAATGGAGTTTGAAGATAACGATCCACATAGGCCATGGCAATGGCTCCAGTCTCTCGATGAAGATTGAAGAAATCCAATACATTGTAGCACCACTTGACCATGAGCTTGCGGTCTTCCCGAAGGGTTTTCGAATTCTTGTCACTGGCATGGAGGATGCAGTAATCTTGGCAGACATATCTCAGCTCTTGTTGCTTCATCGCCTTGAGGGTAGAAATCGTATCCCCCACGTAAACAGACTCATTTTCTGGTGTCATGGCTGATCTAGCGGCGTTGTGCGGAGGTTTATGATCGATTGCATGTGCAGACTGCTACTTGTGTGTCGGTGTTGTTGTTGTTTGTTCGGTTTCGGTGTAATTTGTGCGAAAACCAAAGCACGGCACACTCAATCGTGTTAGCCTTCGTTGTGAGCATGCAGCTGCAGGGGAACCACCAACGCAGGTTCCGGTTTGGGAGCCATTTAGAACGTTCAGTGGAGGCGGCAAGGTGGGATTGAGTGTGCTTCACTCCCTTGACGTCTCTTTCCGCAGCTCGGGATTACGGCACTCGAGGGAGGAGTAAAGTAAAAGGAAGATTAGAGTTTCTGATGGATTTGTCAGATCAAAATTTACCTCATGTCACTGATTTTAGCCAGGTTTGCCTAGCAAACTTGCCAAGCTAGCACGATCTGTTACTGGACCAAGCAGTACCCTTGCGAAGACAGGAGATTTTTGGCTGGAGCCTGCTGGCTGGCTAAGCCAGTAGGATCTGTCTTGGAACTGACCATTATTGTTGCTTCTCTGTCGCTATGTAGCCTAAACAGGTATGATAACGCTGGTTTCGCTCGAACAGCTTGGTGGTAATACTGGAGTATCAGTATTGTCCATGTGCGGTCGTATGTTTTTAGCACGGCTCGTGCTGATCACATCAAAAAAGTACTATCCCCTTGATTATGTTCATGCAGGCAGGAGCGGGACCTACAGTGCGTTCCGAGCTACATGACCATCTTTGCTAAATAAATCACAACCGTCGTGTTTGCTCTCCTTTCCGAGTTATTTTTAAGTCCTCAACCGGTACACTGCAGCGAACTTGGAACTAGCACAACTGTCTCGTTGTTGCTTTTCGTTAGTCACTTCCGTTCATCAGGAACCGGTCTGGTTGCGAATTGACATATCTTCCAAACAGCGACGACTCGCGTGTTGTTTGGTCCCTAGACTTCCCAGCCAGCTGCCGGGGATGCTTTGCCAACAGGACGACACGGATCCTTTGAAAGCCACCCATGATGTTAGACTTTAGAAGTGTGGAAAATCGTGGTTGGATCCTAGCTACTAGTATTCCTAGCTAGATGCAGCATTTGATACTATGGAAGAAGGCTGGAAGTAACTAGTAGACTCTATTGGAAGCCCAGACTCAAACTCTTACGGACAAGTTTTAGACTTACTTGACGGCGAGAGCTTCCCGGGCCTGGACTTGCTGATATGAAATGGCCAATGCTTGGACTTATGTACAGAGATTGCCAAAGCAACCGGACTAACTGCAACCGGTTGCTCTGCCATTAATGCGCAACCACACCTCGTTGATTTACTTCCTCTCTTTGTGGAGCTTTGGACTTGTTTGCTTCTATTACCTTCGACAAGAAAGGTACCGGTACCCGTATGTTGGATACTTCCAGCCTTTCTGCCACCGACACGAGGAGGTCAAGGTACGTACCGGTACGGTAGGGAAGAGCGTTCGCGGGGAGCTGGCTTTGTGAAGCGCATTGCGACGGTACCGGTACTGGTACATGTAGTCTACCGGTACAGTACAATACAAGCATGCTTCCCTGCATACCGTACCACGTACGTACAGTTTGTACCACCGGTAGGCAGCGTGCTTCCGGTGGCTATTGGGCGATGAAGGAGTCTATGACCCCCAGATCCCGTAGACTGATCGATTTTCTGGTACTCAGAAATCCTCTACGCGCCGCGCGCGTAGACCTGGTACATAATCGCTGACGTGTCTGACACCAGAAAAAAGCAACGGCTGCGGCAAAAAGAACAACAAAATAAAAGAAACATGCTGACAATGGCAGATAATGGCAACAGTTGCTATGTAGAATGTTAAGACTGACATAGAACACCACACAGTTGTAACTCTCCACCATGCATGCGCAGCTATCACCAATTGGGAAGTAGTAGCATAGATGCATGGTCAGAGAGAAAGCTAATTTTTCTTGCCAAATGCACACATCTAGTAAAGGTCAGCAAAATGTTGCATTTGGCTGTGGCGACACAAAGGAAAGGCTTCATTGTCCATTGAGAGCCCATTGGAAACAGGACTACTAAATGACAAACTTACTTGCGAAAATGGGTCTGTAACACCAACAAGGATTCACAATTGGACTCTCCGCATATTCTCTGCAAAACCTTGATCCTCAGCAACTTCCAGCTCCTGAGTTGTATCTTCTTCATGGTGAGAAGTCCTCAGAGCAATGAGGTCTTCAGTGCCAACTGTTGGAGGAAACAAACCTGAACCCTCTTTACTTTTGACTCGTGTATTAATCATCTAGTCCGGTTCGCATGCTAATTCATCATGAAGGAACCGAGGGAGTTTTAGGTCTAAGTGATTACGGGGGTCCCTTATATCCAATTCAATCACAAGAATTCCTATGACACACCAGAAAATCCTCACTATTGTCTTTTCAGCTTAATCTAAATCAAATTACTCCCAAATAGTGAAGTATTACTAGCAAACAACACTGAAAAGCAAAAGCCCATCAGAGTTCGAACAGATCAACACCTCTGAGATTGATACATCAAGTTGATCCAAGACTATCAAGTCAATACAGGTATAAAGTCGGTTTTGGTCCATCGCTTTGAGACATCAGCGATACTATAGCAAAAACAGTACAATATCGGAAACCTTCTGTCTCACTCTCTATTTTCTGAGTTAACGGGACTCAATAATGGACCAAAATATTTAACTATCTCACAAAAAGTATAACGAAAATGAAATACACGTTTAACATGGGGTATCTGATGTTAAATCATGTGGTCAGTATGGGTAACATGCTATGAGTCAATGGTACTTGAGGTCGATTTCGTATTAATCTACTTATGGGTCAATCGGACATTGAGACAGTCATTTGCTTATAGACGGTTTTGGTCCATTTTTGGGCTGTAGCGCTGGTACACTTTCTACGTGTCTCACCCACTTCCTTTATTAAACTCGTACACTGAGTAACTATAGCAACAGAGGAGAGGTGCGCAATTCAGCACTATAGCCACACTATAAGAGCATCGAAAGGCCTCTAACAGGAAAAAGGTGCCTGCGCGCGATTCCCATCGTCACCGATACATACTGGATCGAAGACTTCCGGCCGGAGTCAACGTAATCCAAGGGTACCAGTGCAAAGAACACGCGATTGCAGAACGATTTCATACTTGAACGAAGGAAATCCGTCTCTTATCCAGTGAGTTAGAGTCGATTACGTCATCGTTTCATCGCGCGTGATTTTCTATCGCAAATCGCTCGAGCAGAAGCCCATCTACGACGTTCAAGCTATCAGCCGATAGGAGTGTTGCAAGTCAAGGCCACCATACAGACATCGATAGAGGACCTCTAGCCGCATCTCTGGGTATCCTTGCAAGCCACCAACTCTTGAAAACCATCGAGATAGGTCTAATCGTGTCAACAGCGCTTGTGAGCTTTGACACCAAAAATCCAGGTAACGACTCGGAGACCAAATCTCCACCGGTGCACCGTTTCAGACCATTGATCCTCACACAGTGTACTAATTAAACGTTACTGAAGAACTCTGCAAGAGCAGAGGACCATACGAAAGGCTACAAAGGAGTTCGCTACTACCCTGAGCCACGAAACCACGTATTACGTGAGCTGTCAACAACAGAGGCTATCCAGCAACACACAGGTGCACAAAAGAAGGATATCCAGCCAACAAGAAAATTTTACAGGCAACTACAAAAGTAGTGCCCGTCGTGAGATCCTTCCTGCAGGAGCATCCACACCAAAAAACAAGCTATGTTCAAGGAACAAGCAAGCACAAGAGTGCATTAACCCAACACCAACAAGACCATGAGATTCCCAGGAAGAGGTGGTCGCGGGGGAGGAAGATACCCTTCTCAGGGGGGTAGGGGATTCAATTCTTCAGGAAGAAGCCATCATAGGAAGAGGCAACAGTTATAGGAACCAGAACAAGAGGTCCAAGCGTCAGTTCCTCTTCCATCCAAATGGACAGGCCGACACCAGGTATTATACCTTTTGAAGAGACCCTGACACACATTTGTCCTGGATCTAAGGTATCCAAGCCTTTAGTGGAATTATGTGCCTTCTGGCTTCTCATGGGCCATTGAGACAATGAAAGTCAGGCACCACCAAGCCGGACAAGCCGACACTCCAGGCATCACTTGCTGATCCACAAAGCCAAGAGTACGATGCTTTGGAACTCAGCGAGTACAAGGCAAAGTCATCCATCTACGACAAGTCGACTCGATCCTATGAGAACATTCTCAAGACTGGTGCAACCACCATACAGTGACATACTGTACCGAAGCAATGAAGTCCAAGTTGAGAGGCCTCCCAGACTATGAGGATGCAGTCAAGCTCGACCCCATTGTGATGCTCCAGAATCCCGTACCGAACGATCCGGATCCGGACGGCAAAAGTCCAAAAAATCCAACAGGCCACCACCACTGGAGTCTCCACGAGCACCTGGTAAACCATTATCCAAGCAGGTTCATTCTGGGAAGGAAAAGCGTCGCACATCCCATCTTGATAGTCCAACAATGAGTGGAAAAGGAGGATCAAAGAAGAAAGGGGTCACTCCCCGGTCGAGCAACCGTCAGAGGAAGTCTCGTATGATTGGTAGAGACAAAGATGACCATGACAAGCATGTGGAGTCTCTGAAAGATAGTGAGAAGGTCACTTATGTTGGGGATTCGCGATTAGGGATTCAACCTGTACCTCTGTACTAGAATTTGATGCCAGTAGTAAAAGCTGGTAGCCCCCACCCACTTTTTCAATAGTATCTCAATAGCAACAGTAACTACTAGAAGAGAGCTTAGAGCAACTAACATACTATTGAAAAAGGCTGCTATCACGAATAGCAGTGGTCTACTATCGAGTCGAAGCGAAGCAGTGAAGAGGAGCCTATCGAAGCAACGAAGAAGCCAACGGTAGCAGGAAACGAGTATCGGCCGACGCCGAAGTTCGAACGACCGTACGAAGAAGATCGACGGATCGACTCGACGAGACGATAGAGACCAAGCCTGTCGAAGCA